CTGAGGGAAAGTTTAGTAAGCCGTATAGACAAATGTTCAAGACACGCTAGACTGTGCACAGTGACTTCTGCTTTCAAAAAAATAGACACCCGGTTAAAAAAGAATCCCACAACAAAAAGTTATTTTTACTTGCAGCGGTTTTAATAATGTTATATATAAAGTTCAGATAGAGGTATTTAACAATTAAAAATTTAATATATTTAATCTTGTAAATTTTCACGGTGCATCACTGTTAAAAAAATGGTAATTTATTAGCATTAATTTGTTCAACGCCGGTTATTTTTTATTAAGTATAATTGCAAGCTAAATTTGCAACACATAATTAATTATTGAATGTTGATTGCTTAATGTCCAGTGGCAAATATGTCATGCGTATTTAAAAAAAACCAACATAAACATTGCAATTTATTAGTTTTGTACAGTTTAAATAATTGTTTACTTAGTGGATTCTATTGTACTAATATTCTTCGATGATACCTAAGTGTCTATATAATGTATGAGGATATTGTACTACCTGCTTCATGCAGAAGTGGTTTCTGTGCTTTTAAAATGGAGACTTTACGGTTTCATATAAACCGGACACGTTTGGCCTTTTTTAAAAATTAAATGGACACAATTGGGCGATTATAAACAGAACACGTTTTGGCGCCCTTTAGCAACTAGACATGTTTTGCAGTTCAGCGACGTCATATGGACACGTTTGGGGGAATCGGACACGTTTGGGGAGATGGACACGTTTCTGAGTGTTACATATATAAATGCCGATTTTTAAATTTAGTAAACCATAAACTACGGCAAATATTTTGAAATTAGTATATTGTCTGAAAACAAAATATTATAGATCATTTGATGTCGTCTGTTTTGTATTAAGTCTTGAAACATTGCCAAGCTAAATCTACCGTAATGCATATTGATTGTTGTTATATATAACATATAAAACTTTTTTTTGATGTTTTACAGTTTTTACTTATCCAAATATTATCTGAAAATATTTGTTAAGAAATACTTTATTAAAAAGTATAATTATAATTTCCACAAATATCTAACGAAAATACTAAACGCGTGTTTTCTAAGTGCACGTACACGGGTAAAGATGTAAAATCTGTAGTAAACGCCCGTTTACTACTGACTAAACGGACACAGAATAAACGCGCGTTTACTCGAGTAGACATTTGAAATTTCCATTTTGACCGGGTAACGCAATTGTAGTAAACGCGCGTATACTGATAAACGCGAAAATTGGAGTTGACAAATGAAATATGTGCATGCGACGTTAACGTGCGTTTACTTTATGTCATGCTTGGTCTGCACCAAACTGCACGTTATACTATGCCCTTTACTAAATCCTTTTTATCGGTATGCATGTACGAAAAATGATTGATTACTTGATTGTTGGTTGCTCAACGTCCAGTGGCAAATATTTAATGCATGTTCGGGACGAGAAAAAAATTAGCAATAAATACAATAGGAAGGTCCTACAATAGAGGCCGTCCGGAATGAAGGTATGAGAAATTTGAACTGCCACTGGCAAATGAGGGTATATTGGATAGGAACATAAATCTAGCCTTGCAAAAGGTCAAATACGGACCCGTCATAGAGTTTTTGCAAGGCTACTTAACGTACAAAGAACGAGGCACTTTCTATACACGTGGCATCGGATTTAACGTCCCCATTCTGACCGGACATGGCTGCGAAATTGAACATCCCGCACAGCGTAAGAACTCTCCACTTTGGCAAGGGTTTACTGCCGGTAGAAGGAAGACCAGTGATGATTAATATATATTACCATGTCACCCTAGGTGGGTATGAAAAAAAAAAAACGAATATCCCTACGGAACAGCGAAACTTTTATGATATTGCTCATGTCTTGGGAAATGGAAAAATGTCTTAAGACGTTTAATTTTAGTTTATTATATAAATGCATTTTTCTGCATGGTTGATTATAAATACACCATTGACAATGCCCATGTCTTGAGACAAATAGTAAATATCTTAAGATATTAAGTTAAACTGTAAAAGCATTTGCAATGGGGCCGTCTATTGAAATTTTGTTTGTCGATGGTTATAGCTTTCAAAAACAGATGAAAATTGTTCCTGAATGAATTCAAAAGTTTAAGTCATAAAGTATGTTCGACAAACAGATTGAAAGCTCAAGCAATGAACTGATACGACAATACTAGCACGTTTACGTCAACACATAGTCATATGGATAATTTTGAGATTGTCATTGTGCGAAAAACAAAATGTAAATGGTGTATTAATAATTAGTCCACTCCAAAACATGATCTGTGTGTATTCAAAATTATGATCGTGCACGCTACTCCGCTCTTTTAAGAACCATTGAATAATACACTATAAAGTTTAACCTGTGGAGTGGTTACTTTTCTATCATACTGTATAGAAGTACTACCTCACTTCATATATGTTTGAACTGTTGTCATTATTTTCAAAGAATAAATACATGTGCGATAAAATCTATAAAAACGCGGCAAACATATTTGGTTACGTCTATAGTCAAGAAATAAATATATTTGTGTATACGATTATTCACATTTTTTTTGGTACGAAATAAGAACATTCAACAAAAGTATTGACAAAAAATTTTATTGACTAAGTCGCCCATGAAATCTTTTCTGAAAATGGAAAATAATTCCAAAATACTAAGCTTTACAAATATATGTTATGTCTATAGGGTGCACTTCTGTCAATACAGACAATGCATTTTCTCATAGGAACTCCCTTTACGACTAAAACTGTGCCATTTTGCTATGAAGTTTCGTAAAAAAATATATCCTAGAATGGAACGTTGATCAGTGTTGATAAGCACTACTATTTTATTCAAAGGTCAAAACATGGGACTGTGCGGCATATTTTCAACATTTATTTGCCTCGAACTTCTCAGAGTTTAAACTTGTACTAAATTCTGTAAGACCTCTTCCTTCACTTTGGGTATTTATCAGAATTCAATATTACCGTTATCCATGTGTATTTATACGATTAACATTCCCAAGTTATGACTCTATGAGATGAAACATAGAGATCATACCTTGGAACCAGTACGTAAACAAAACAAAATATCTTTGAATATAATATACCTCCCAAAAAAAGGCGTGGTTTGTCAAACAGCTGTATTTACAAAGTGCAACCTTTAGATAGAAGATAAAAATCTCGATACAGTGTAGATGTCTAAAGACTTGTTTTATCGGAATGTCATATTTGTATTTTGAAGACACTAAGCCTTACAAAATATTTTATACTTTGAGAGAGAAAATAGATATCTTGATACTTTGTTGATATTTAAGAACTTGCTGTATTGGTATATAATATTTGTATTTTGAAGATAAAATGCTGTATAAATAGAATACGACAGCAAATGAAAATTATCATTCTATTAATTTATAGATTTGTATAATGGTTAAAAATTATCACGTACATGCATATTCATATGTTTTTGTTTATTTTCTCACTCACAGTCACGAACTGTATTTCCTGAGAAGTGTACTTGCACGGTGAATAAAATCTTCAAGAAATGTAAGTATATATAAAGATATACATGCGTGTTTTGAACGTTTGTTTTCGTGCATGATGCAATTTACACGACTTCATTATTTTACCAGTGTTCCGATTCAAATAGTCATATACCTGACATTGAATATAACTCAGTAATCTGTTTTATTCATTCTGTACAAAAAGTCATGTGTGATGTCGAGTTGTGATCAATATGTATACGTTATACTATGCCCTTTACTAAATCCCTTTTACCGGTATGCATGTACGAACAATGATTGATTGCTTAGTTGTTGGTTGCTTAACATTCAGTGGCAAATATTTAATGCATGTTCGGGACGAGAAAAAAATATATACATACAATGGGTAGGTCCTAAAATAGAGGCCGTCCGTGATGAAGGTCTGAGAAATTTGAACTACCACTGGAAAATGAGAGTATACTGGATAGAGACAAAAATTAAGCCTTGCAAAAGGTCAAATACAGACCCGTCATAGAGTGTTTGCAAGGGTTCTTAACGTACAAAGAACGTGGCACTCTCTATACACGTGGGATCGGATTTAACGTCCCCATTCTGACCGGACATGGCTGCGAAATTGAACATCCCGCACAGCGAACGGACGCTCCACTTTGCCAAGGGTTTTACTGCCGGTCGGAGGAAGACCAGTCATGATGTATATCTATTACCATGTCACCCTAGGGGGGAGGGGGGATATGAAAAAAAACGAGTATCCCTACGACACAGCGGAACTTTTATGATATTGCTCATGTCTTGAGACATAGAAAAATGTCTTAAGACGTTTAATTTTAGTTTATTATATAAAAATATTGTTATGCATGGTTGGTTATAAATACACCATTGACAATGCCCATGTCTTGAGACATATAGTAAATATCTTAAGATATCAAGTTAAACTGTAAAAATATTAACAATGGGCAGTCTATTGAAATTTTGGTTGTCGATGGTTATAGCTTTAAAAAACAGATGAAAATTGTTCCTGAATGAAATCAAAAGTTTAAGTCAAAAAGTATGTTCGACAAACAGATTTATAGCTCATGCAATGAATGGATACGACAATACTAGCACGGAACCACATCACATACTCATTTGGCTAATTTGAAGATTGTCGTGGTGCGAAAAACAAAATGTTTATGATGTATTGATTATTAGTCCACTCCAAAACATTATCTGTGTGTATTCAAAATGATGATCGTGGACGCTACTTCGCTCCTTGAAGAACCATGAAATAATACACTATAAAATGTTAACCTGTGAAGTGGTTACTTTTTCTATCATACTGTATGGAAGTACTACCTTACTTCATATATGTTTTAACTGTTGTCATTATTTTCAAAGAATAAAAACATGTTCGATCAAATATTTGAAAACGCGGCAAACATATTTTCTTATGTCTACAGTCAAGAAATTAATATATGTGTGCATACGATTATTCACATTGATTTTGGTATGAAACAAGTACATTCAACAAAAGTATTGACAAAATATTTAATTGATTAAGTCGCCCATGAAATCTTTTTTTGAAAATGGAAAATAATTCCAAAATACTAAGCCATACAAAGATATTTTATATCTATAGGGTACACTTCTGTCAATATAGACGATGCAATTTCCCATTGAAACTCCATTTACAGCTAAAACTGTGCCAATGTTACGATGAAGTTTCGTAAAAAAATATATCCTAGAATGGAACGTTGATAAGTACTACTATTTTATTCAAAGGTCAAAACATGGTACTGTGCGACATATTTTCAACATTTATATGCCTCGAACTTCTAAGAGTTTAAACTTGTACTAAATTCTGTAATACCTCTCCCTTCACTTTGGGTCTTCATCAGAATTCGAAATCGCCGCTATCCATGTGTATTTATACGATTACCTTTACTCTATAAGATGAAACATAGAGATCAATCCTTTGAACCAGTATGTAAACAAAAAAAATATCTATGAATATGATAAGTCTACCCAAAAGAGGCGTGGTTTTACAAAGTGCAACCTATAGATAGACGATAAAAATCTCGATATATTGTAGATGTCTACGGACTTGTTTTATCGGTATGAGTGCCAATGAGTCAACTCTCCATTCAAGTCACAATTTGTAAAAGTAAACCATTATAGGTCAAAGTACGGTCTTCAACACGGAGCCTTGACTCACACCGAACAGCAAGCTATAAAGGGCCCAAAAAATTACTAGTGCAAAACCATTCAAACGGGAAAACGAACGGTCTAATCTATTTAAAAAACGAGAAACGAGAAACACTTATGAACCACATCAACAAACGACAACCACTATACATCAGGTTCCTGACTTAGGACAGGTGCAAACAAATGCAGCGGGTTTAAACGTTTTGATAGGTACCAACCTTCACCCTTACCTAAAACAATAGTGTAACATCACAACATAGAAAGACACATTATAAAATAGTACTTGAGACATGGAAAAATGTCTGAAGACGTTTAATTTTAGTTTGTTATATAAATGCATTTTTCTGCATGGTTAACAAAAATAACAAAATATCTATTTACTTGATCATGGCGGGCGGAAGTGTTTTATTTTAAAAACTTTTAATTTGTTATAGGGTTCACACGAAACACATAAACATACATATAGATAAGGCCTGTATTGTTGAACTGCTGTTTTCTTTTCAAAATTCTTAACTTGACACCGTTGTTTTGTCTGAGAAATTTTCCGGAACGTTCTATTTATATAATCCGGAAATTTGATAGAGTTCTGTTTTTTATATTGTCTCCCAAAATTAGGTCATCGTGTATCATCAGTTGGACATTTTATCATTTCTTGTGTATATATTTTGCATAAAAAAAATGTAAGAATAAGTATATATGCAAACATGTCTAGCCGTGAGTGAAACAGTGGAATAACCTGACTGGCAGATTTAACAGTGACTGAATGCTTTTTCATATGTTTTCAGAAACTGCTTTATCAAAATATAAACTACCAAAAGCTCAGAAGCTATTTTTAGTCATACCAACTAGAAAAAAAAGTGTGCCATTCAGCAATATTGGACAGAGAAATGGGAAATAGAAAAAATCAGAAAAATCTACAATGAAATTGATTGATATTAAAACAAGGCCAATTGGAAATCCTCATCAAATATGGTAATTCACTTCAAACAACACTTCAGAAGTAAAAAAAAGCAGAAATAAAAGCAAAACTCATAACTAGGACTTAAACACTTCAAGTAGACCGTGCCAAGTTAAGCAGAAATGTGGAACAGGATATATGCCCATTATGCGATTAAGCTAAGAAAGATACAGTACACTTTATACTTGAATGCAAGGAACTAAAATCTGAGAGAGATAAACATTTAACAACACTTAAATCATATGTGTTCAACAACATAGGCAATGAGATATTTGACAAAATTATAAATGAAGGACTAATGGTGCAGTTTATTCTGGACTCATCATCTGAAAAGATCAAGCAAATAGTTAATATCAAACATCAAAATATCAGAGACATTGAGAATATCACACGAACTTTATGCTATGGTCTACATACAAACTTTATGAACCACATAATGACCCCCTTTACCCCGTAGCTTCAAAAGTTTGACCCCTAAAAGCTCTGTGGAAATGCTCAATATAGGAGGACATTTCCCAGATCCAAGATGAGGGTCAGTAGTAACTAAACTTAATATATGATATTTAAGACATAATATGTGCAACAAAAACCGGGTGCAAGAGGATTTTCTCCGAAGACAAAGGTACAGTGGTAGTACATGTAGGTAAAAAGGTGAAAGGAAAGGGGATTACCCTTTAATTTTTGGGGATGATGATTTTGAAAATGAATATCATATCCACTGAATAAAATAAGCATATGTACATAGCAACATATGAAAATGAACAGTCAATTAGCCAAAAAATCCTTCTGGCCCCCCAAAATATCAAATGGTCATCTAAGCCAAATAATTATGACGTCTTAACCATGTCATTTGTCAATTTGTTTGCTATTTTTTTTTCTGTGACGCTTTCCTTTAGACTAATGGTCATCTAATCATTTGTTATACCTTGCATAAATGGGGAGCCCTGCAAGTACTATACAATTAATACATGTAATAGGTTGTTTTAAAACATTTCACAGTCCTAGCATTTTTTGTAGAATCTGATGAATTACTAGGCATAGTTTTAGTTTCTACATTAGTAATGACATGAGACTTTGACTCCATCATTGTCCATACTGGGAGAGTTAAATAGATTAGCTTCTGCATCTGACATGTCTGATACATCCATTTCAATGGAATGTCTTTTTTCAAAAAAAAAAGAATAAATTTATTGAAAGTAAAATACATAAAACTCAGGATAACATTATCAATACCTCTCTCTCTATCTTCATGTATCTAGATTTTTTGGCTTTTATTTGTGCATGCAAGTGCGCCCACACCAGCCTCGTGTATATACATGTATATATTTATCAAAACTTCATTTTAACCTTATGCCTAGATGCAGTCCACTCGTCCACATCAGCCTCGTGTATATTTATATATATTTATCCACAGGAAAACATTTTCACTGCTATGAATATTGATGAAGGTGCGAAACAATTGCATACAGCAATACACCAGTGTATAATATACATTTATAAAAAAGTTACTACTTTTTAGCACATTTTTACACTGATGCAAATACATGTACTAATACAAATGATCGATTAATCAGTTGTGATTGGAATAGACCCTGAAAACTTTTTTTAATTTTCAATGTTTTTTTCCACCATGTTCACCTGTTTACTATGATAAGATTGAAGTTTGTTTCTTATTTCAATGAGAGGAACACTCAGGATGTATTTATTTGTACATGTAGTGACATCTACTTGCTTTTATTAACTATTTTTACCAGAAATTTGTATGATTTTTATATACATGTACATAGACATATTATTTCCATGTAACATGTATAATATAGTTAATGGACATGTCTATTTTTAGGACCACTGATCCATGCAGTTAAGCATTTTTCTTAGTGGTGTTCAATGAGTATATCACTGGATTGAGCTCTCTGTCTAAGTGTATTATCAAAGTGCTTTGCATAAAGCTCAGTTCATTGTTATGCCAATGCATTCTTTGTGAAATTGTCAGAGATTCATAAACAGACAACCATATCATCATATAAACAGGTAAGATCGTGGAAATTGTCAGCACAAGGAATTATTGAAGCAGCACCCACAGAACATAAGTAGTTAAAGTGAGATTAAAGCATTTTATTTACATTTGAAACAAACATTTTGCGTCCAGATAGCCAAATAAAAAAGCTCATTGAAATATTCCAAACATTGCTACCTGGAATATGATGCTAGGTGGTTTTGTCACCTTTTTAACCATTTATACTGTCTACTGAAGAGTCCTTAGTGCAACTGGTCATTCATTCAATCATATGGACGAAACTCATAAGGCTTAAGACAGTTCCTTACATTATCTGTCGTTGTTCAACTTTTATCATTCATTCACTATTTCTTAATTTGTGTTAATGTTAATTGCCAGATTACAGCACTGTTTATTTTTATACAATGGCCACAACAAAACTGCATCATACAGGTTTCATTTATGTTTTTATCCACATTACAAAAAAGAATGATTCTGCAAAACCGTTTCCACGTTTCTTTTAGTCTACACTATAGCTATTTGTCATAAATATTTATTGAAATTAAGAATCATAAACAAATAAATTTGTTTACTATGTTATTAAAATTATTTCATACTGGTAAATTTGTCTGTTATCATGTTTATATAACTTCAACCAGGCCATGGAGACTCTAAGGAAAAGAAAATTTCAAAGAAAGAATTAAAATACATGTGTAATACAACAGAAGTGTACTTTCTGGCTCATCTAGCCCCATGTGCATGCCAGGTATTATCATAACTATTAACTATTAGACATCTTCTAAGAACAATATCGAATATGTAAACAACATCTTTCACTGATGATACTGGGATGATCCTTTACTAAGTGTTCCAAGTAAGAAATGCCCACCACAACTGTCAGACAGGCACAACGGACATAATTAGAACCATACGAGAAGAACATACAAACAGTTTCTTATAAACGATCTTGCATATTGAAATCACATAATGCAGAAATGCAGCTTATGTGTTCCTCTACTAATTTTTATTATTTTTTTATACAAAAGCAAAGAAGTGGAACATATTTTTACAGAATTATTTGGTAATCCTTATAATGTATACAGAAAGTGTCTCTCTCCCCCATGATAATCTTTAACATAAAACCCAAATATTGAAAGAAACCCGACACTACAAATTTTAAGTGTTTGGTACTGGTCTGATATTGAGGATGGCTGTCACTGTGGAACACAGTTTAACATAAAACACTATGAAAAAAAACCTGTAGAAAATTTTTTGTTAGAAAACACTGTCAAACATATAAACATAATATCCACACTGATCTGTGTCCACACTTGTTGATTATAAATAAATCATTGACAATGTCCATCTCTTGAGACATACAGTAAATATCTTAAGATATTAAGTTAAACTGTAAAAGTATTTGCAATGGGGGCGTCTGTTGGAATTAGGTTGGTCGATGGTTATAGCTTTCAAATACAGATTAAACTGGTTCCTGAATGAGTTTAAAAGTTCAAGTCATAAGGTATTTTAAACAAACAGATTGACAACTCATGGAATGAATGGATACGACTATACTAGCACGACAAAAAGTAAAATAACAAAAATACAGAAATCACAAATAGGGGTACAGCAGTCAACATTGTGTTATGATCTTAATCACTATAAAAACAACATCATGAACATTGTGTTATAATCTTTATCACTATAAAAA